CCACAAAACGACGTTGAAGCAAAACAACGTGTACTTGATGCAATATATTTGTGACTCCAATTTTCCCACTATTGGCCCTTGGCCATCTCTGCTTAAACCTGCCATGACCACTTGCACACACGCTCGATTAGGTACTGGCTTATCAGATAATAAAGCTAGGTTATCTGTGAAAAGATAACCAAAAGATACGAGGACACCGATTGCCACACCTATAATATAAATACTGTTTTATTAGATCCCAATTTCAAAGAGCATATAGCTAGTTTATAGAATGACAAATATGCCAATGAAAAATGAAAATATACTACTGTAAAATGCTACAGCCTGCTATATACTTTATAACTACTTTTGGACGAGGGCTCGACAGACCATATATTTTTTAACTGTTCTTTAATTAATGACTCGTTATTTGACCATCTTTCTCCAGATTTCCCTCGTCCATGTAACCTTAACTCCCTACTTTCCCTCCCATCCAGCCCGATCATCAAAATTTTAGGGAAATTTATTTCTGTTAATAAATTAAAGTTCTCCTCTCCATACCTTGTAGTATAATGTTAACCTCTTGTATATATTATTAGATGTCTGTGTGTGTTGTCTTTATTGTGACGTCATTTTTGTTTTGGGTAACTGCTTATATTTATTAGATTAAATTCCATCTATCAAAATTATCAAATCTATCCTCACCCGCACCGTGTGAAGACTTAGAACGCGACATTGGCGGAATTGTGATTTACATAGAAGTCGCCATTATAAATAAAGTGAAGTGAAGTATAACTACTTTTGACAGAATTTTTAAAACTGTCATTTGATTTCGTCGTTCGTTTTCGTCTTATATAAATTGTTAAGTTATTGCAAATTTTCGAGAAATATTACTCTGTGAAACGTACGCAAGTTTTAAGTAATTTATAAATAGAAGACATTTATAAATAGAATTCGTCATTAACACTAGGTCAAAGCTTATACATTTTTTTTATAGAACAGGGGGCAAACGGGCAGGAGGTTCACCTGATGTTAAGTGACACCCATAAATAATTACATAAGTATTATAAGTTACGTTTCTTACCTTAAATCATAAAGAGCGTTAAATTATTGTGTTGTAATATAGGTATTAAAACACTATTTTATTCATCGTTTTAATGCTAAAAACGTTTGTATTATCAACAGAGATCGAATTTGAAAAAAAACAATAGAACGCGTTGAACGGAAACGCATTTTAATTAATGAAAATAAAAATTGATATTGCACCGGAAAGAGTATCGGGTATAAAATATTCAAGCTGTTGGCCTATTTCTGTGGCCTTGTCACCTCCGCTGTAAATTCACAGCTGAACGGTCTCGTGTTTTCACTTCGGTTTCAACTCGAACCGAAACTAAGGTAGCCGCGCATGTTTTTACTCTCACAGGACTTTTAAAATATTGTCGTTTTTAATATGTGCGATGTGTCGGAGATTTCATGTGCAGAATTAGAGCAAGTATCTTAGGCTTTTAGAGAATTTCTCTATACAAATTGACAAATTGATTTCAATTAATTAATGTTACATAATAGCTAATCATTAACGCCTATTGTGCATTAAATTATTATAACGTTACTGTCATCATTTAAGTGTCAGTAATTTGTGACTGAAACGTTGAACATGTTTTACTTTTTTTTAGTGCCTCTCTATTACTGGAGGTTGGCCGTCAGTAACTTGAAGTCTACTCCCGCAGTTGCAATCCCGTCCCTAATGTTGCAAAGCCATGATTTCTTCATTCTACCAACACGTCGTTTACCCTGGATTTCACCCATTATAATTAATTGAAGGAGGTGGTAGCGGTCATCGCGCAACACGTGGCCCAGGTACACAACTTTCCGGTGTTTAATGATATGAAAAAGTTTTTTCGATATTCCAACTCGTTTCAGAGCCTTCTCGTTAGAGACCTTCTGGATCCAGCTAATACGAAGCATGCGACGATAGCACCACGTCTCAAATGCTTGCAATCGCCGGCGGGTATCTTCTTTTATTGTCCAAGCTTCACAGCATGAGGGTAACGGAGACGAGTTTAAAAGAAATAATGCTCAATGTTGGGTTGAGGGACATCTTTTTGGAATTTGCTGTGAGGGTCATGCAGGGGGTTGTCAAAAGAAATAGGTAGTAGTAGAGTAGTAATATAGTAATAGAAAGTAAACATTCGGGTTACCAATACATTTATGTAAGCTTTTTAACACCTCCGACGACTACATAGTCGGGGAATTATCTGGAAACGTTTAAAAAAAAAAAAGCTTCACAGCCGTACAGAACAATTGGCCATATATATTGATGTACTTGCAGCTATCAAATTGCTATTAAAATTCAATTAAACTATTTCCAAATCAATAAAGCTTAGGGTCCTTCAAGAAAAGGTATTAACTCTGAAAAGGTCGACAGCGCACTTGAGTCTTTTTGGTATAGGCGGTGTTACTTATAAGAGATACTTGATAAAAAGTCTTGTAACTTTTATTGCTTTGGATTATAGCACTGAGCCGAGAAGTATACGTGCTAATTGAATAAAAGGATCCTTCTAGAACGATGACCCAAAAATGGGGTTCTGATGTATCAGATTAACTATTTCCAATACTTGTAAGTATAGCGAGACTCCCATAATGAGTACGTTTTTAAAATGTATTGAAGTGTTTTAAGAGTACTTTTTTTAAAATAAGGTGCGCAGGCATTGACTTATGAACCGAAGCCAAACGAGGCAACGGGTTGCTTAGAGTTAAGTTCTTACCGACCTCCATGGACACAGGCCACACTAGAAAGCTTGTAAGTGCTTTGTCGGCCTTAAAGGTATGCTCTTCTCTTATTAGCCCCTAAGTCATAATGGTTCGGAAATACCGGGATTGCCAGCTGGTTCCATAAATACCAACTTCTTCCTTTTGACCAAGTCAGCGAAGGGCTTGTCGAATTCTCAATCTCCAACGTATTACATTACGTCTATGCGTATTCTACAAAGTGTACTATGGAGAGTGTTCTAAAGTTGTTTGGGTTGATCCCTTCTGCCTTGTTTCAACACCGTACGAGCCGTATTAATTCAAAATTTCATCACCATCACCTTGATACCTTGACCTGCCACGGTCCGCTTCTCAAGACATTTTCTTTTGCGAACTAGCCAACTGTGGAATCGACTCCCAGTGGGAGACTTCCATGGGAGATACGACCTTTAATTGTTTAAAGAAAGAGTACACTCCTCCCTCAAAGGTCGGCAACGCACCCACTAAATTGGGTATCCATTGCAATGCATTGCATTGCATTGATCGGGTTGCATTTTGATGGTTGTAGGGTGCACCCCTATTCTATTAAAAAAAGTGTTTTTGAAAGCGCTCCCATTACATTCAAATTCATTTGGCTTAGTGCTTGTCGTAAATTGTCTTAGACCCCAGTTACATTGCCTCTTTAAAATGCGCAAGCGACTATTTTTCATAATTAAACGTAGCTCGTATTAAAGCGATTTTGGTAAGTCTAGCTCATATATCACGTGTATTCTACCCGATAAAACGTGTACGAAATCCAATACGCGGATTGGGGTAGTTGGGGCAATGGCGGTCCGCAAGCTGTAAACATAAATAAGGAAGATGGACGACGTTTTAGAATAACCCCACGCACGAATGCCACTCGTAAATTCTACTCTTGATATAACATCAATTTGGAAAATTCGTAACGGTTTTACTTCAGTATTTTGAGTCAAATATTTAGGCCTTTAATTTCCCACTTAAACTGGATTAAAGTGTGCTTTGTGACCGTTCAGCCGAGCAACATTTGACAATTTCTCGTAGAATAGGTGCGTAGTTGTTATATTCTGTAATTATTGGTATTATTGTAATTTTTTATGTAAAATTATAAATTATATCATATTATACCTATTATTTGACACATTAGTTCTAGTTTCATAGTTTATTTGTGGCCTTGTTATATAACAACCTTTTTGTAGTTAAATGTATTATGTATTCCATCTCTGGCTATATTTTCAGTTTAACAGTTTGTTATTATATATATTTTTTGTTAGGATTACGAAATAAATAAATAAATTAATAGATAAATAAAAGAATCAAAAAGATATTATGTCAAATTGTAAACCTCCTTCTTCGTTATATCAGTTAAAATAAGCTGTTTTGTATGGTACCAACCGATCTAAAACATTTAAATTACTAATAATAGGTTACTCATAATCTTTTTCTTAAGAAAATTTAGAATATTCGAAGGTCAGCTTTAGCTTGGGACATCATGGAAGGACCAGTTCCAATCCTCTTATACACTGCAATGACTCATCTCTTGCGGTTAAGGCTTTAATAAGGTCTTGCTATTTATGCATGCATTAGTTTAAATAAATAAGTCCTTTATTTTACTTTAAAGTAGTACATATTAAGATGGATGAATTAAAACAAAACTGAACAACCTAATTAGCATGCATTTAGTATCTCAAAACTTATAATCTTAACTTATAAACTTCCTTACATTATAGAAGCAGTGTGCACTTGTTATTCTAAACAAATACTGTGTATAAAGAATTAAAACTTTATTTTATAATTAAGGTAAAAATGCAAAAAGGTAAATTACTGCATGCAATTTAACAATCACCTGTAATGTTATTATTGGATTATCTGTGTGAAGCCGAAGATATTAAAATATATGAATATTGGATTCGCGGTTGTATTTTTAATTATTAATGTAACAATTTTCACATAAAATTAATTTAAAATGTAATTACTTTTATAATTAGGTTGTCCAATAACGATTAACTGTGTGCCGATAGGATTATGACGGAAGGATAACTTTAAATCATGAATATCAAAAATATGACCTTATAACGTTTTTAACTTTATCTGCATTCAATTTGCTGATGCAGCTCAAATTATACCCATTACAACAGAATACTATAAGTAGTACGCGGTAATGTTATCGCTCTCCATGTTTTTTTTAATACAAATATTTGTAAATATAATATAATAATATTATATTTTAGGATAACAAAGGATACCAAGATTGAAATGGAAATGGGCTGCTCACATAATAAGAGGTATAGAAAAGTGGAACAAAAAGATCATATATTGGTACCCAAGAAATAAGAAGTAGACAGTTTCAAAGGTGGGAA